GGTACACACACCCACACACCCACACAGTCACACACACCCCTTTTATTTATTACCATACACCACACGCACATTAGTGCTACACCTTTGTGTGATGACTGCAGCTAACTATTACCTCCAGGCTGCTGTTTGACGTCATTTTAACTCTTTATCTCTCTCGCTAGGTTCTGCTCATCGGTAAATCCATCAACTTCCTGCATCAGGTTTGTCATGACCGAACGCCGCCGGCCAAGATCACGCCAGCGTCCAAGTCTGCAGACACACCTAAAGATGGTAAGAGCGTCAGATTGTCTTTCTCACAGAACAGTTATGTCTGTGATGCAACTGCTGCTAGTGTTTGTGTTATCTGTTGTGGTTCTATTTACTGTTTTTCTTTTTTTTTCTCTCCCGTACAGTTGTCCTTTAATATTATTCATCACTCTATTCTCTGCTTTCCATACTGTTTTTATACGCTGTCTTTTATACTGTTTTTTCTCCTATCCACTTTGCTGCTGTAAGATTGGAAATTCCCCATTCGTGGGGAACTAAATTAAAGGAATATCTTTTATCTTATCTTATCTTATTAGGTGGAAGCAATAGCACACTGCAATATGCTGAACATATAAAAGATGATGGTGTTGGTGGCTTTATTGGAGCTTTTTATTGTTTTGTTTTCTTTCCCTTTTTGTGTTATTTTACTAATGGCATCATTGACCAATAAGACGCCTCCATTTTTATTTCGTCCTCATCGCATTGATATTGTTGTATTGACGTAAGCGAGCGGACTGACAGTGATCGATGCTCTTACCGCTCGCTGGCCTCGTCCTCCTCTCCTTTTGACTATGAAGAGGAAAGAGGTATACTTAGCCATGTTCTATTGATTCAGTCTGCAGGACTTCATCTGACCAGTTTGATCTGGAGCTTTTTACTGGATCTGCTGAAGGGCATCACGCTTTTCTGTCCCTCATTGTCCAGCAGCGGAGGTCTGGGGAGGAGATTTGCATGTTTGAGCCTAATTACAGTCTCAATGTTAGCACTTTTTTGCCTTTTTTTTTTGTTACCCTTTATGTTCATCAATGCTAAATTGAAAAATACGTTAATTCTGTCAGGTTTTTAAATGTAGAAAAAGATATTGCATAGCACATAATATATAATATATACCAAAGTTACCCTTTAATAACCCTTTCACGTCTGTCTGTCTCTTAGCTGCAGAGCTGCTGTCCGACCTGGAGGGGGCGTTTCAGGAGAAGATCGACGCTGCCTACTTTGACACCAGCAAATACCTGCTGGACGTTCTCAACCGCAACTACCTGCTGCTGGAGCATCTGCAGGCCATGAGGAGATACCTGCTGCTGGGCCAGGGAGACTTCATCAGACACCTCATGGACCTGCTCAAGTTAGCAGCACGCACTTCAAATATATCTCTCTTGTAACTCATGTAAAGCAGAATGACAGCAGGGAGATAGTAACTTTTCATCTGATGCTATCCTGATTCTGTTTGTCACAGACCGGAGTTGGTGCGTCCTGCCACTACTTTGTACCAACACAACCTGACTGGTATCTTAGAGACAGCGGTCAGAGCCACAAACGCCCAGTTTGACAACGCAGAGATCCTCAAGAGGCTGGATGTCCGCCTGCTAGAGGTGTGTGTTTCAGCTGGTGTGTGTGTGTGGGGAGGGGACGCTGTGCTGCAGGTCTGACTCCAGCATGTCACCTTATGACGTCTGTCTTTTGTTGGCTCCAGGTGTCTCCTGGTGATACGGGCTGGGATGTGTTCAGTCTGGACTACCATGTTGACGGACCCATTGCTACGGTATCTCACACACACGAACACACACACTTTCAGTACAGTTCCCGACAGACTGTGTATGTTTCTATCTCGGCAGAACAATTTCTGCTGTTATCATATATAAATATGTGTGTGTGTGTGTGTGTGTGTGTGTTTCAGGTGTTTACAAGGGAGTGTATGGGCCACTACCTGCGGGTGTTTAATTTCCTGTGGAGAGCCAAGAGGATGGAGTACACACTGACTGACATCTGGAAGGGACAGATGTGTAATGCCAAACTGCTCAAAACCATGCCTGGTACGTAAACACAATTACACACACCACAAACACACACACACACACACAGTAATTCTGTTCTTATGTGACTGATTGATTAAAGTTGGTTAATTGCAAAATTTATACATCAAATAAAATAATTAAGACTGTTTTATGACAGAAACTGTGAAGGTACCACCAAAATATATTATTGTAAACCATAATAATAATGTAATTATGCGATTTTGTCAAGTTCTTGATTTGTGTTTATTTTTGTAGTTAAAAAAAGCCAGTTGTACAAAACTTACAGTATAGTTTTAAAGATAAGTTACCATTTCTGTCATCACTATGTTTCTTTAAAGAGTGAAATTAAAAAATCATTGTGGGTGTAACCTCTGCAGCCTGTTGTGACTCTACCTGCCTCTGTGCTTCTAACCCTCCAGAGCTGTCCGGCGTGCTGCATCAGTGTCACATCCTGGCCTCCGAGATGGTCCACTTCATCCACCAAATGCAGTACTACATCACCTTCGAGGTCAGCCCATTAGCAGCGCTGCTACTAGCGCAGGCTGTAAAACAGCAGTAAAAGAAAGTAGTAATTACAGCGGGAGGCGATCTGCTGTGTCCGTTAAATGCAGCGCTGCGTGACTCTGACTTACAGGATCAACAGGAGCCTCCACACTAGTGAGGTTCACTCAGTTTTAGAAGGTTGCTGGTTTGAGTTCGTACCAGTTGCAAAACAAATAAGTGCATGAGACACTAAAACTTTTCTTAGAGTCACACTTATCAGGCTGATTTGACTGCAGGTTTTACTGTTGAGTTAAGTCGGTAAATAAAACATTTCTCTGCTCAGACATTGATAAAATAATTATACGAATTCTAAAAAAACAACATATTGACAGTGGACAGGAAGGCGCCGCCATCGTATCAGAGGTGGAACACGCTGACTGTATGATATCTGATTTTTAATAAAAGGGCAATGTCATTCCCATAAACTGTTGGTAAAATGTGTGTGTGTGTGTGGTGTGTGTGTGTAGGTGCTGGAGTGCTCCTGGGACGAGCTGTGGAACAAAGTGCAGCAGGCTCAGGACCTCGACCACATCATCGCTGCACACGACGTCTTCCTCGACACCATCATCTCAAGATGCCTGCTGGACAATAACAGCAGGGTAACACACACACACACACACACAATAATCTTATGGGTGAGTGGTCATTTTTCTGCCGCTTTTCCACGTACACTTCTTGAACTCTGTTCCTGTCTGTCCATCCAGTCTCTTTTGAACCAGCTGAGGGCCATATTTGACCAGATCATCGAGTTCCAGAGCGCCCAGGACTCCCTCTACCGCTCGGCTCTGGAGGAACTCACCCTCCGACTGCAGTATGAAGAGAAGAAGCGACAGAGAGAGGGGGAGGTAGGACAGGCGGGAGAGGGCCGAGGTTTCTGGGCCACAGATGAACTAAATACAGAGAGAAACGGAGTGAAATGATGGGAACATAAATGTGTTGCGCAGTCCTGTCTGAATATATGTCTGCTGTTTGATTCAGGGTCAGTGGGGAGTAACGGCCGAACAGGAAGCGGAGGAGAAGAAGAGGATTCAGGAGTTCAAGGAAACCATACCAAAGATGCGCTCGCAGCTCCGCATCCTCACCCACTTCTACCAGGTACCAGCTGGAGCCGGCTCCAGGAGCAGCCGTCAATCATTCGGCACATCCTTAAATGCAGCATCTTCATCTTTTCACATCTTTGTTCTGTTCTCTTTCTCCTTCTTTCAGAGCATCGTTCAGCAGTTCCTGGTGTTGCTGATGACTAATACAGACGAGAGTCTGCGTTTCCTCAGCTTCAGACTGGACTTCAATGAACACTACAGGTTCGCCTTCCAACACTCTGTCAGGAACCAAAACAANNATCTCACTTAAATGTTTTCTGTGGTTCTCCTGTGCCAAAATCCAAAGCATCCTACCTATATATGCAATATCAAATGTTACTTTTTGGGCCTTTACACTGTTTTTATTTTTTGAGAGAATTCATGAGAATATTCCAACAAATTTGCCCACGGTTCAAATTAGAATTATTATGACCATGAAAATCTTAAACATTTTGTAACTGACTGTTTTCCGCCCACAGAGCCAGAGAGCCGAGGCTGCGAGCCTCCCTGGGCGCCACCCGCGGACGACGACTGTCAAATATCTGACACGACGACGACGATGGCATTGACAGACGAGGCTTCCAGTCATTGGAGCGTGGGGTATGACATCATAGAGACGGGCTGGCCAGCAGACTTAACGAGCTTCATGTCGAGATGATGTCATGCCTTGGAGGAGCGATCCAGCGTTGTTCTGAACGTTCCGGCATCGTCGCCGAGGCGGTCGCCAAGTGATGACATCACAGCAGCAGTGAAGTCAGCCGTGCGGGATTGTGAAGGGAAGTCCAGTAAATCAAACTTCCAGAGCTCGTTGTGACACGCAGAGGAAACACCCCAAACAGACGTCTCAAAATTCTGCAAAACATGAGGTAAAATTACTGAAACTACGCCGAGCGCGAGGACGTAAATAACAGCTGCTGTCAGACGGAGCTCCCCCGAGTCACACAGGGCCACCTTACATGGCATGCCTTATTAATGAGAGAAAAACAAAGCGTTTTTTTTTCTCAGCCTGGTTGCCAAATCTAGTCCCAACACACATAATGTATGTACATAGAGTTTATGCAAAAATGTATGTATGTGTATATTTGCATCTTTACACGTCAGCTCCTGTGGCTTCGCATCTTCTCACTAGGGTTCAACCGATATGGGTCCGATATTGACTTTTTTTTTTTTTTTCAATTTTGTATTCGTAGCAGCTATTAAAACGATTCAATCCGATCATGTTCAGTACAGTTATTCCAGAAGAAATAGGGTTCCTGATGGAGATTTGTCCTGGTTAATGTAGAAAAGAACAGCACTTACAGCGCGAGGCGTAGGAATCCGCAGCATATTGATTATTTATGGTCAGTATTGGCACACCTGTATATCGGTGTAACCCTAGTCCTCCACTCTCTCCTCCTTAAAATCCAGGGTTTTTTAGTGTCAGGTCAGCTGTCCAATCACAGTCACATACAGAGGATTTTGAATTTACACACACACACTTGCGGAAGATTTTGCTTCCAGTGACATAAAGACAACTATGGCTCATACAGATGGAAAGCCCCTTTGTTGCCCACTTTGTTTGCGCCTTATATTAATATTTGATGGTGTTGATTTTAATAGTTTTCGTAGCTGTTTGCATTGGTGAGAAGTAAAAGAGCATCTGGCTTTACCTCGACCGAGAACTGACTGATGTAAAGAATGTTATAATGTTAGTTTAGTTTGTATTGAGTTGTGATTTCCCTGCTTGGTTTACACTTTGTGCTTTTCTGTCTGTATGAGAGATGGACCTTGTCGAAAAGAAATAATCCTCTCAACAACACAACAACCTCACTTCTTGTCATTGCATAAACAATAGCAACTATAACTGTTCAGATGTTTAAAAAATGTAAATATTTCCAAATGAAAGTCCACGTTTAAAGAATTTAATGGTTATACATTTTTCTATTCCGACAATATAAAGTAAAAACCAAGAGTGTTAGTGGTGTTATTTAGTGAGGTTCGCTCCATGTGCATACGAGATGAAGATGCTGACTGTTGCTGTTGATCAGCTCCCCAAGTTGTTCATTTTTCATGAATCGGATTCATTCAGATTTTCCATTTGACACATAAAAACCTTTGATCGAGTGACCACCGGCTGAAAATCTCCATGTCCAAGCTTTCACACTCACAGCC